AATTACAATAAAACATTTTCTTTTTAATAAAGAGTATAGATACTATACAAACCTTAAAATAATTTGGCTGTTGCTTGAACCTTTTTTGTGTAATAATAATAATAATAACTTCCTTCTTTTCATATTTTTGGCAAATAAATGTAAATCATTATCACATCTTGGGAGGAAACATTTTTTCATACTCCTCATATTATTTTATAAAAACGAAAATTAAATAATTATCTATTGATAATATTGACACAAAATTACAAGATTTCAGGTTAAAAATCGATTCTCGGCACCTAAAGATGAAGCGAGTGATACTGACATTTAAGATCGATATATAACCCTTCTCGATATCCGAGATAGGAATCGCAAAATCTTTCTCGTTACAACACGTCTCGAGTACGAAAAATGAGAATTCCACTGCTGGTTCTATTCTAACCGTGAGGAGGCGTGTCAAGGGGAATGAGACTAACGAGTGACTTCCATGGCCCTGGTCGATGTGGTTTTCATAAATCCTGTTATGTTGAGACATGCTGTTCTTTGAATTTGTTCTAGTTTGCGGACAGCTGTCAATTTTTAGGTTTTCGGTACCCAGACAACTGCACCGTATGTTAGAATAGGTCTTATGATAGCCGTGTAGGTTCATACGATGACTCTGGGGGAGAAACCCTAGGTGTAGACCACGGTTCGACAGCATTGTTCATAAGCAATGTATGTTTTCTTAACTCTGTTTTCTAAGTGTGACTTTCATGTTAACTTGCTGTCAAAGTTGAGACCTAGGAACTTCACCTCCGTTGTAAAGTTTAGTTTTGTGTTTAGGAGTTTTGGAGGCTTTAATTTTATTTTTATCCCTTTCCTTGCGAGAAGGATTGTCCCTGCACCACTGTTCTATTACTTGCATTCTTTCGCAGAGTATGTTCTCAAAATTTCCTGTTTGCAGAATAACCAGATCATCTGCATACGCTATGTCATTATTGAGGCTTAATGTAATTACAAATACATAAAATATCAACTCAAATAATTGAGGAACATGTCACAATCCTTAACTGATCAATAAAACTTGATTCAAATAAAAAACAGACTTTTAATTCTCACGTAAGAGATCCAGAGCTTCCGGTCGGAGTCTCAGTGATCTAAATCGCTTACAAAGGTGGCCTCCTATAGGAAGGATCCTGCTCTGTGGAAAAAGCTCTGTGCGTCCGCTTGAGATAACTTTTATAACTTATCCATAGTTTTTTGTGATTAAACTAATATTAAATACTAAAATGAGAACAACCAAATAGAAGTGTTTTTGAAAATCTACCATGTTTGGTTTTTCTTATTTTAATAATATGAATTTTTATCAAGTAAAGGCCTAAACAATCAAAAATTATTAAATAATCAACCTTGTATATGATTTTAACTTAAAACAAATTCATGACTTAATTAAACAAACTTTTATATACAAGGCGTTATTTAAATAATTAATACAAATTTAAAAAAATGTGAATTTATACGTTTCGTGGTAATAGAATGGAAGGAACAGGGAACAATACGAACAATGGGCCATGTTCGCATGTGAGATATGCTGTTTTATAAATTATATTGTAATAGTTAGTCGCTATACAAGTTATTCTAAATAATCAGTTCGTTAAAAAAGCCAAAAGTTTTTAAATTATGCCCAATTTAAATTTAAAATATGAAATGTATACGTCATCGGGAATAGACCAATCAGCTTGTGTCGATGTTTTTTTTGTTATACAAAACCAAGCCAACTAACAAACCGACACAAAGAATGTCGAAGTGAACGCACATCTTAGTGACACTTAAAATTGACACCACCTAACCTAACATTCGTTGTTGTTGTTGTTGTTTTCTCGATTTATTTCTTTTGTGTTTGCTAATTGGTTTAATTTTATTATTAATGAGTTTGTTAGCTGAATTTATGAAAGCTAATTCAAGTGTTTTACCCATTATAAATCAAAATATGACTTTTTTAACAATACTCAGTTTATACGTGTCAAAGTTAAGCCAGTTAAAACAGAAAGGTATGTAAAACATTATTTATAATTTGTTTTAATAGTATGTGTGTGTGTGTGTGTGATTGGATTTTATGACTGCGGATATAATCCATTAGCCTATTATAACTTTTAATAGTAGTTACAGTTTATATGGGGTAATACACCTTATAGTAAAAAAAAAATATTTTTAGACTTTTGAAATATTGTAAAACTTTACTAAAAAAATTGTTGTTTTTAAATAATACAGGGTGCTTTGTTGGAACAAAGTCAGCAGGACACTTCAGTTTTTTACTTTGTTTTTTTTTTTATATATATAAAAACAACTACTTATGACACATGTTTAGGCTATTTTAAAATCCTAAAAATGTATATTTGTTTTCAGAAAAAAAACTTTGAAGTCAGCAAGGAATTGCGATTTTTTTTAAAAATGCCAAATTTCGAATATTTTATAATATTTTAGGAGCAAAAAACGTAGTGTGGTTTAAAACAAAACTGGAGTGCTCTGCTGAATTCGTTTGAAGCTAAAAGAGCATCCCGTAATTTTTTATTGTATTCAATAGCCTAAGAATAGCCTAAAATGAGACATAGCTCTTTAAAAAAAATTGAACTTTTAAAAATAGCAATTTTTTCGAAAAGCTCTACAATATTTCAAAAATGTGAAAATGTGGTGAGATTGTTTTTTTAAAAAGTTTTAAAAATCCGAGGTTCTTTACTGGATTCGTTTAGAACTAGTAAAGCTCTGCTCGTCTTGTTACATAAAATAAGGCATTTTGTAGCTGGTTATATAGTTATTTTGTAACTGCATATCTAACCCTTTTATTTTTTTCAGGTGGTCGTAAACATGTAGCTTTTTGCTGTGGCTTCATAGAAGAAGTGCGGAACCATCTGTAACATCTACTCAGTTTTATTGGAAAGGCTCTAATTTCTCAAAATGCGTAAATATTGATGAAGACTTGTCTAGATGGTTAAAGAAACCTCTTCATCTACTATAGAAAAATAAATCAGTACTTTTATATTCTTAGGATTTGTATATATCTTTTTTATTTGTAAATAAATTGTTTTTTACTTCATTTTTCTCATTTTTTATTAAAAGGTTAATAAATGAAATTTTCACTGATTTTTATATTTTTGTTTGTAAACAATAATTAAAGAATTTTTATTAAAAATCACCAATGTTAATAATAATAATAATAATAACTTAAGTCAATATTAATCTTTCTTCTTTTTTAAAGCTACTATCAATAAAGGTATTACTTTAGTTTGACCTACGATCAATTTTTAATTTTGTGCTATATTTGGTTTGGCAGAGAAAAAAATTATAACCCTTTGACATTTGTTGTTTTTACTTAGATTTTCATAAAAAATAAACAGAACTGCAAACATGTTTTATTATCGTAATAACGAATAGCAACATTAAATATTTTTTTTCACATTTATCACTGTTGTCATTTTCGTCAAGGAATAATAAGAAGGCACATTTGCTGGTTTTCTGAAAAAGATGGCAGGAATTGTAATATTTTTAAATTTATTACCAGTAAAACCACATGTAGTTACCTGACTTATTGGAATATATAGACTTTGCTACCACATTTAACTGAACTTGGTTGTTTTTAATATGTATCACTGTGACATAAGCTGTTTTTGTTAAAATTTTTCATTTTAAACTGCTGTAAATAGCTGTCTTTGGTTTGGTAGTTTTAGTACCAAAAAAATCTATGCATGTACAGGTACTCATTCCACTTTGATTTGCTCGAAAAGTTAAAATTTTTTAAAAAATTACATTGGCTGTTTAATAACTCTTCATTATAATCCCTGAAATGTGATAATTAGGTAAATTAAATTAAAAAAACAAATAAAAAAAGTTTATTAAATTAATATTTACTCTTACAAAATAGGTTCTTGTAAGTTAACAAGCAATTATGCAAATATTACTAATTAAATGTACTTGCTTAAAATTTACACAGGAATGTAGTTTTAACATGTGAAATTCCCTAACCCTTCTTATAACTCTTTCCACATGTATTCTTAGAGACGCTATTCTTTTACTTAATTGTACATCTTCTGAAGAACTTTTTTCATTATGTGATACACTAGGTGGCCTTACTAAAGTGCATCCCATGTTTTCAAGTAATGGCTGAATATTCTTAAACCCCCTATCTGCCATTATATGGGATCCAGGAACCAGTTTGTTTGAATACCCACATTTATCTATTATTTTTTTATCACTAATTCTTCCAGAAAATGATGATAAAATTCGCTACCTTTAAAACTTTCAGGAGATTCTGGATTTTCTTCCAGAAGTGTTTTTAGGTTATACACCTAAGAATTTATAGTAACCTCATTTTCAATTTTCTGAAGGGGACAATTAGCAGAAATTGCTGCTACATCTTAAATATTCAGTGTATTTTTATTAAAAAGTTGATGAGAAACATCGCTAGTAAAAGGTTGATTTTCTTCTTTCCAAATTTCTAGGAACAGTTATAAATAGTTTTAAAGATGAATGTGAATCACTATCACATTCTGGAACAAAACTTTTTCGTAGTCATAATATTTATAAAAAATACAAAATTAAACACTCAAATTCAAAATAAATTCTTGATGAAGACACTATGACAGATGACACTTACAGTGCTGTCCTTTTTCCATTTTCTGAATTATTAAGTGACTTTTAAAACAATGAAACTTTAAATATGGTAAAAGTTTAAACAGAAATAATACTTTCAAAAATATTTGATATTATATATTTAGAAGATATTTGTTTAACGATGTTTTAGAAGTCTAAAAGTAAGAAGGAGTACACAAACGAACGTACATCACTTCTCGTAAACCTTTTAACCGGCAACGTTGTGGCGCTAGCTCCTATGGGTCTATTCTCGGTGACGTCATAAATTTTAAAAAATTCCTAATTCTGGCAAATGAATAGATAAAAAAAATGTAGCTTTATTTTCAACTCTACTATTCATAAAAAAATTTGCCCCATTAAATATCTTTAAAATAAAAATATTTATATTTAAGATTCTATTCCAACATTATCTATTGACGAAGCCTGCTCTGATGGATTGCCAAACTACCGCAAACATCCATACAATTGTCATTCATACTATGGTTGTTCAGAATATAAAGATCTCTTCATGTACAGTTGTGGTGAACACTATTGGAACGATGAATTAAAATCATGCGACATCAAGCCTACTGGTTTTTGTGGTAAGTATATAGATTTTAATATCTGGGGTTTTCGTATGATAAATGCTATATTTGTTATCCTAAATCGTAATAATTATTAAGACATTCGCGGACACTTATATTTTATGGTATGTGCATAATTGGACACAAGTGGCATAAGCCGCAACATATATTATCTCAAAAGGGACACTGATGGGCCTGACGGCAACTGCCGTCAGAGGCTTGATGCGCTATAGATACATTTTGCGCGATATAACGTTAATTTTGTATATCTAACTATGTAAAGTGTCCCACTAGACACCTGTATGATAAAAATTGTTTGCAAAATGTCATTGGTGGGAGGGAAAACTTTGGTTCTGCGATATACTAAGTTTTGGCGCGTTTAGTTCAGATTTACGTATTGTTAAGGACGGTGTGTGCTAATACTTGGCTTAGTACGTACGTAAAATGGACAAAAAGCAATAACAACAACTACTTAGGTGGTATGCTAAGCTTGATACGAAGGATAAAGGGTCAGAATCGGATGCAAAAGCGCACACGATCCTTATAGTATTGACGATTCCATGAATGATCCTGATCTTTTTCTGGAACCTTGTTTGTAGCTGGCCCGTCTTAAAAGAAACGAAAAAAACTAATCCAAAATGCAGTTGCAGGTTGCAGTTGTAGTAAACTAGGTAGGCACTATTTTTATGTAATTATGATTGATAATTTATGTTGCAATATATTTTTTTTATAATAATACCCTTTCCTGTTTTTATGTGCCCTAAATACAACATGTTAATCCTTTCCATGGTAAATTGAAGAACAGATATTTAAATTTTGTTCCAGAACAAGCTGGCAGAGAAAGCTCAGTTGACTCTGATGGCCTGATAGATCAAGAAGAAAATGTTACTGACTTTGTGGAGCCGATGGAACAAAAAGAAGATGTATAGGAAGATACCTTGTGTGACCCTTTAGACTTTATGTTCAACCATGCTCCTGTTGGGATTACACAAAATATTGAATCCAAGACTCCCAGAAAAGTTTTTGAGATGATTTGGACTAAAGAGGTAATAGATTATATCCTTAGAAAAACAAATACATATGGCGAGACACTCAACATATCCAACAGACCTAAAAGTAGACACGAGCTGAGAAATATCCGTGGATGAATTGAATACATTTTTTGATTTGTGTCTTTTAGCTGGCCAACTGAAATTTCGTTCCATTTGGGATTTATTCTCTTTTAATCCATTATATTACCATCCGATATTTCCTTCTACTATATCAGGTGACACAAAAAAGTCATATTTCACCTACTGGACATAGCCGTGTGGAATTCGCACTATTTATATAATAAGAGCAATCGTGAAAAAAATCGTTCAAGTAATTCAGAAACGAATTAATTAAATCATTGCTCGAAATATCCCCTGATCAAAAAGATGGCATGGAATTTGTCAAAACTGTACCAAAAGGAACTAAATCCATGCCATCTAAAAAAATCTAGGAAGAATACTGGTCATGTTCTTGAGGCCATCCCTATACCAGAAGATTCTAAAAAATGGGGGAAATATTATTAGTGTTCTAAGCATTGTTATATGATGAAAAAAAGAAAAGTAACTGCTTGGCAGTGTCGGAATTGCGTCGACAAGCCAACCCTTTGTGTAGGAAAATGTTTCAAGGATTGGCATGAATAAGTGACTTTCTCTTTTTTTGTTATTTTTACCAAAGCATTTTGTATTTTTTTTTACTAGTTTTAGTTCCATATGAATACATACAGGGTGTTTCCGAACTTGGCGTCTAAATTTGTAGGGGTGGTAGTTCGCATAATTTGAGACTGATTCGCAGATTTCATTTTTCCAAAATATTTAAAATAAAAATAATTAAAAATTTTAAACAGGTACGGTCCTGCACAGCGATAGGATCGCCTCGAGCAATACGCACTAGAAAAACAAATCGGCTACGTCTTTCGATACCGGCCGGGCGGAGGGAGAAATTTGCAAATCGCATCTGTTTTTGAGTTGTAAATCCCGATGAGTAACCGATCAGGCAACTATTGCGCTACGCTTTTTGATGATTTTTTTTATAATGGCTCTATTTTGTTTATTATAATTTTTTTAGAAAAATGAAATCTGCTAATCGCTATCAAATTATGCGAACTACCACCACTACAAATTTGGACGCCAAGTTCGAAAACACCCTGTATTTTCTTTAAAATTGACGTTTTTCATTTTATTTTTTATGCGGTATATGACGTCACTGTCATTTTAAGAATAAACTATGCTTTTCGCAGGACATGCCGTTATATGACGCAGTGGTTTTTTTATATTTATAATTCTTTGGAAAAATGTGATTTTAAAGCTTTATGTTTCGTTTCTCTACGTGTAAAAGTACTTGTTCTACCACTGTGACAATTTGAGCACACTTGACTTTATTTTATGTCCCTGATGAAACAAAGGCCAATGACTTGATTTTACGTCACTGTCCGCGAATGTGTTAATACTTAATTAATTTTATAATTTGTTTCAGTAGCAGTTGATGCAGGTAATTTTAATTTTTTAATGATATATTTAACAATTTTAATTTTTATTGTTCCCCTCTTCAAATGAAATTTGTTTTTAGTTTAAAACAAGGGTTTAAAAAACGATAAAGTATTTAAGGCGGTATCTGTAAGACGACCTTAATATTGTATGTATATATTTATGTACCGTTCTTCTTAACTGTAGAACATAAGTCTCAAAAAACATTTTATACATGCCCCAAATTGAGAGTCAAAATAAACACTATTGAGTCATTTTCAGTATTCTGGAGTATCTATCAGAAAAGGTACAACCAAACCTAACATATAATTTATTTAGACAGAGAAGCTGCATATGCTTTCTATTAGCTTCGTTATTCTTTTATTGTGGGATGTTTCTGAGTCCGTTGCCCAATATTACATCCTATCATTATTTCTATTCTCTATTTTTAGCAATAACATCAACAACAACATCAACAACAACAGCAACAACACCAACAACAACACCAACAACAACACCAACAACAACACCAACAACAACACCAACAACAACACCAACAACAACACCAACAACAACACCAACAACACCAACAACAACACCAACAACAACACCAACAACAACACCAACAACAACACCAACAACAACACCAACAACAACACCAACAACAACACCAACAACAACACCAACAACAACACCAACAACAACACCAACACCAACAACAACATCAACACCAACAACAACACCAACACCAACAACAACATCAACAACAATCGAAACAACATCATCACTAAGAACAACTCAATCTCCTATTCCAACACCACCTATTTGTGACTGGAAAACTGAATATTATTCTTATCCATACGATTGTTCAAAATACTACGAATGCCTTGATTATAATCTATTACTAAAAGATTGCAATAAAAACATGTTTTGGAACGATGAACTTAAAAGGTGCGATCACAGCTGGAACGTCGATTGCTGTAAGTATAATTAATGCAACTTCTTCTTCTATTTTACGGTAACTCAGCCATTTATCTAGTTCATAAAGAGACAGACACTATTGTGAAGCAGATAAAAGAAAAAATAAACAATACGCTTGTCAATTTTCTAAATACTACAGTAACGATACATTTTACTGTTCATAACATTAGTTATTTTATAACCTTCTAATTCGTACTAGTTGTTCCGACCTCAAGTCGTCAAAATAATATACTTGTAATTATCTATTTTCAATATGTTGAGAGGGGGCAAAACTTGAGTCGACATAGGTTTCCTTCTTATATTTATTATTCGAAAGAAATACAAAATATTTTCTAACATATTCAAGCATATTTTGAGACTTTAAAAAGGCCAACACACCCAATTGGAGTTTCTTCTGTCTTCTCTTGCGTTAACTTCTCTCAGATATATTTGCCGTCGTTGAGTGTTGAGTTTTTTGCTGATTTGTTTCGAAAATAGAGGTAACATTTTGCAAATAGTATTTTCTATTTTTGTTTTGATTTTTCTTATCTTGTAATAAATTTAAAAGGAATAGTAGTTTGTGCAACAAGAGTGGATATAGACAATCCTCTCGAGTTGTACAGTATATTTTTTTCTACGATCCACTACCAGATATCTAGATCCACTACCAGATATCTACAAATTAAACATCATTTTAGGTTATTAAGACAAAATAACTAATTTAAAAATAATTTATGAATTTTACCAATTTTTAAAATAAAATAAATATGAAAAAAAAAAAAAACAAAAAAATTAGTAGCCAGCCAAAGAATCGATCGCCTGCTTTTCGCGTGGAAGTCAAGCACTCTGTCCATGCATCTACAGCCACTTTTACTATTTTGATTCTACACAAAAATAAATAATTAAAAAATATACTGACAATTAGTTTAACAAGATTGTTACTTATTTAAATTTTCAAAAATAATGGTACTTGGATTTTTTAAAATATAAACTGTGATTGGTGAATAAAAATTAATTAAAAATTAATAAAAATTAATAAAAATTAATAAAAATTAATAAAAATTAATAAAAATTAATAAAAATTAATAAAAATTAATAAAAATTAATAAAAATTAATAAAAATTAATAAAATTAATAAAATTAATAAAAATTATTAAAAGTTTATAAAAATTAATAAAAAATTATTAAAAGTTTATAAAAATTAATAAAAATTAATAAATAATAAATATTAATAAAAATTATTAAAAATTAATAAAAATTAAAAAAATTAATATAAATTTATAAAAATTTATAAAAATGATTAAAATTAATAAATATTACCAAAAAGTTTTAAAAATAATATAAAATAAATAAAAATTATTAAAAATTAATAAATATTAATAAAAATTAATAAAAAATTAATAAAAATTAATAAAAATTAATAAAAATTAATAATAATTAATAAAAATTAATAAAATTAATAAAAATTAATAAAAATTATTAAAAATTAATAAAAATTAATAAAAATTAATAAAAATTAATAAAAATTAATAAAAATTAATAAAAATTAATAAAAATTAATAAAAATTAATAAAAATTAATAAAAAATTAATAAAAATTAATAAAAATTAATAAAAATATAAAAATTAATAAAAATTAATAAAAATTAATAAAAATTAATAAAAATTAATAAAAATAATAAAAATTAATAAAAATTAATAAAAATTAATTAAAAATTAATAAAAATTAATAAAAATTAATAAAAATTAATAAAAATTAATAAAAATTAATAAAAATTAATAAAAATTAATAAAAATTAATAAAAATTAATTAAAAATTAATAAAAATTAATAAAAATTAATAAAAATTAATAAAAATTAATAAAAATTAATAAAAATTAATAAAATAATAAAAATAATAAAAATTACTAAAAAAGAATAAAAATGCATAAAAATAAATAAAAATAAATAAAAATTAATAAAAAAGAATAAAAATGAATAAAAATAAATAAAAATGAATAAAAATAAATAAAAATGAATAAAAATGAATAAAAATTAATAAAAATAAATTAAAATGAATAATAATGAATAATAATGAATAATAATGAATAAAAATGAATTAAAAATGAATAAAAATGAATAAAAGTGAATAAAAATGAATAAAAATGAATAAAAATGAATGAAAATAAATAAAAATCAATAAATATAAAAAAAATGAATAAAATGAATGAAAATCAATAAAACTAATGAAAAGTAAGAAAAGAGGAAGTCATATATTTTTTTATAATAATAACACGCTTACTTGCGAGAAAAAGCGCGAACAAAGCTTCGAGCAAGAGCCGCGGGAAACAGCTAGTATAATATATAATCAGAATAATTTTTTGACTCGTTAGTTAAATTTTTAGAATACTATAAGTAATATCAAAACTTTTTTAAGCATTTTTAAAGCATTTTAAAACCTTTAAAGCACTTTTAAAGCCTTTTTAAAGTCCCAAAAATAACTGAGGACTTGAATAATATAGAAAATATTTTGTATCTCTTCCCAGTATTAAGAAGGAACCCTATGCCAACTTAAGTTTTGTCCCCTTTCAAAATAATAAAAATCGATAATTATAGATATTTTCTTCTGACGACTAGAGGTGGAAACAACTACTCCAATTAGAAAGTTATCAAATAACAAAAGATTTGAAATCGATGTAACGGTAATGTTTACCGTTTCAGTACATTGGCTTTTAATAAAGTATATTATGAAGGCTTGTTCTATAATATGCTGAACCCGCACAGGGACTCCGTGTCATATAGAATTTTACTGGTCGCTTCAATCCTATCGATTGGCACTCTGTGCCTCCAAATAATCGCCAGGAGTCGACTGTAACTATCGCCACCAAGCGAGACGTTAAGACATATAGTTTTCTACTAAAATAGGCAAACCGTCATACATTTTTGTTTTGATTTTAAAACATTATGGCATTGGATCTAATTTCAAATGAAAAAAAGTAACAAACGTAAAAATAAGAATTACGGTAAAGCCATTAGCTTTGTAGTTAAATGAAGTGAATTTTTTATTGTGGTGTGTGGTGTAAACATTATAATAGGTTTATTCTGCCATATTTTTTTACCCATACATCACTGAGTGAATTATGATAATTCACGCTTTTGTAATTCTGGCACATTCCAGTAGATAACTAAAGATGGGCGATACTTTTTATAACGATATTTTCTAGATCGAAAAATCGAAATATCGAAATATCGAAATATCGAAATATCGAAATATCGAAATATCGAAATATCGAAAAATCGAAAAATCGAAAAATTGAAAAATTGAAAAATTGAAAAATTGAAAAATTGAAAAATTGAAAAATTGAAAAATTGAAAAATTGAAAAATTGAAAAATTGAAAAATTGAAAAATTGAAAAATTGAAAAATTGAAAAATTGAAAAATTGAAAAATTGAAAAATTGAAAAATTGAAAAATTGAAAAATTGAAAAATTGAAAAATTGAAAAATTGAAAAATTGAAAAATTGAAAAATTGAAAAATTGAAAAATTGAAAAATTGAAAAATTGAAAAATTGAAAAATTGAAAAATTGAAAAATTGAAAAATTGAAAAATTGAAAAATTGAAAAATTGAAAAATTGAAAAATTGAAAAATTGAAAAATTGAAAAATTGAAAAATTGAAAAATTGAAAAATTGAAAAATTGAAAAATTGAAAAATTGAAAAATTGAAAAATTGAAAAATTGAAAAATTGAAAAATTGAAAAATTGAAAAATTGAAAAATTGAAAAATTGAAAAATTGAAAAATTGAAAAATTGAAAAATTGAAAAATTGAAAAATTGAAAAATTGAAAAATTGAAAAATTGAAAAATTGAAAAATTGAAAAATTGAAAAATTGAAAAATTGAAAAATTGAAAAATTGAAAAATTGAAAAATTGAAAAATTGAAAAATTGAAAAATTGAAAAATTGAAAAATTGAAAAATTGAAAAATTGAAAAATTGAAAAATTGAAAAATTGAAAAATTGAAAAATTGAAAAATTGAAAAATTGAAAAATTGAAAAATTGAAAAATTGAAAAATTGAAAAATTGAAAAATTGAAAAATTGAAAAATTGAAAAATTGAAAAATTGAAAAATTGAAAAATTGAAAAATTGAAAAATTGAAAAATTGAAAAATTGAAAAATTAAAAAATTGAAAAATTGAAAAATTGAAAAATTGAAAAATTGAAAAATTGAAAAATTGAAAAATTGAAAAATTGAAAAATTGAAAAATTGAAAAATTGAAAAATTGAAAAATTGAAAAATTGAAAAATTGAAAAATTGAAAAATTGAAAAATTGAAAAATTAAAAAATTGAAAAATTGAAAAATTGAAAAATTGAAAAATTGAAAAATTGAAAAATTGAAAAATTGAAAAGTTGAAAAATTGAAAAATTGAAAAATTGAAAAATTGAAATATTGAAAAATCGAAAAATTGAAAAATTAAAAAAGTCGAAAAAACAACAGTTAGTTACCTATGTTTAATAAATTAATAAAAACTTCCCATTCTACACTTAACTTTTATTTAATAAAGAAACCATAATGGTCGTGGACAAAGTATAGTATTAGACTTGCAATTTATGGCCATTATTCACTCGGGTGACTTGCGTCCCGAGCCGTAGGTGTGAATAATGGCTACCATAAATTGCTCGTTTAATAATATACTATTATTGTAAATAAGTTTGAAAAAGATCACAAATAAATTAAAAAATTGAAAAATTGAAAAATTGAAAAATTGAAAAATTGAAAAATTGAAAAATTGAAAAATTGAAAAATTGAAAAATTGAAAAATTGAAAAATTGAAAAATTGAAAAATTGAAAAATTGAAAAATTGAAAAATTGAAAAATTGAAAAATTGAAAAATTGAAAAATTGAAAAATTGAAAAATTGAAAAATTGAAAAATTGAAAAATTGAAAAATTGAAAAATTGAAAAATTGAAAAATTGAAAAATTGAAAAATTGAAAAATTGAAAAATTGAAAAATTGAAAAATTGAAAAATTGAAAATTGAAAAATTGAAAAATTGAAAAATTGAAAAATTGAAAAATTGAAAAATTGAAAAATTGAAAAATTGAAAAATTGAAAAATTGAAAAATTGAAAAATTGAAAAATTGAAAAATTGAAAAATTGAAAAATTGAAAAATTGAAAAATTGAAAAATTGAAAAATTGAAAAATTGAAAAATTGAAAAATTGAAAAATTGAAAAATTGAAAAATTGAAAAATTGAAAAATTGAAAAATTGAAAAATTGAAAAATTGAAAAATTGAAAAATTGAAAAATTGAAAAATTGAAAAATTGAAAAATTGAAAAATTGAAAAATTGAAAAATTGAAAAATTGAAAAATTGAAAAATTGAAAAATTGAAAAATTGAAAAATTGAAAAATTGAAAAATTGAAAAATTGAAAAATTGAAAAATTGAAAAATTGAAAAATTGAAAAATTGAAAAATTGAAAAATTGAAAAATTGAAAAATTGAAAAATTGAAAAATTGAAAAATTGAAAAATTGAAAAATTGAAAAATTGAAAAATTGAAAAATTGAAAAATTGAAAAATTGAAAAATTGAAAAATTGAAAAATTGAAAAATTGAAAAATTGAAAAATTGAAAAATTGAAAAATTGAAAAATTGAAAAATTGAAAAATTGAAAAATTGAAAAATTGAAAAATTGAAAAATTGAAAAATTGAAAAATTGAAAAATTGAAAAATTGAAAAATTGAAAAATTGAAAAATTGAAAAATTGAAAAATTGAAAAATTGAAAAATTGAAAAATTGAAAAATTGAAAAATTGAAAAATTGAAAAATTGAAAAATTGAAAAATTGAAAAATTGAAAAATTGAAAAATTGAAAAATTGAAAAATTGAAAAATTGAAAAATTGAAAAATTAAAAAATTGAAAAATTGAAAAATTGAAAAATTGAAAAATTGAAAAATTGAAAAATTGAAAAATTGAAATATTGAAAAATCGAAAAATTGAAAAATTAAAAAAGTCGAAAAAACAACAGTTAGTTACCTATGTTTAATAAATTAATAAAAACTTCCCATTCTACACTTAACTTTTATTTAATAAAGAAACCATAATGGTCGTGGACAAAGTATAGTATTAGACTTGCAATTTATGGCCATTATTCACTCGGGTGACTTGCGTCCCGAGCCGTAGGTGTGAATAATGGCTACCATAAATTGCTCGTTTAATAATATACTATTATTGTAAATAAGTTTGAAAAAGATCACAAATAAATTAAATGTAAGTAGATGTGCCCTTTTCCAAAAAAAAACCAATTCACTTATTTTTCTCTTCATTTGGTCGCAGGATTTCAACATGGGTACAATCTACTGCTCCAATTATCCCGGAAAAATTTCTTGCTTCTATAAAACATAACTAAATTTGTTATTTTTCCTGTAGAGTTCTAGGAAACCGAATCCATTCCCCTGAGAAGGTGTTTATAATGGCCGTATTTCCTCTTTAGCTCTCGACGTAATTCCATTTAATATATACTGGGACATATATTTATTTAATCGAAATAACTCTATAAATCTTACATTTTCTATAGAGAATGGATCGCTTGTCTCTCTCATTACTCGCCTATCTATATTTTTCAAACGAAAATGTTATAGTCGTTCCTCCTCTTCAACAGCTAATATATTGGCCACAAACAAAGGGACCATTATTACAAATCAAAGCAGCAAAAACTAGATAATACAAACTTAAAATCAAAACCAAAGCGGCACCTTATCTGTCAGAAATTGACATACTTGACAAAAAGTAACAAATCTCTATATTTCAAGCAAACATTTTTAGATCGGTTAGTAAACCTCCGAGAATGTCCGATGTTTTGACATCCATGAATCGACTGTCACACAGAGTACCGGCAAAGCGTTTATAGAATTCTACAGTAGAAATCGATTGTAGAAAACTATATGTCGAAAGCGATGGAACACGGAGTGTGGCTCCTGGTACTAAAGCGGCTGCTTTCAGTAGCATTTTCCTAGACACTGTACAGTGTACAGCCTTTTAATAAAGTTTAGTATCAAGGCTTTTAATAAATTTTAATTAAAACAGAAAAATATTTCCATTTAATTTATAAAATTTAACTCTTGGTCATTATTAACTGTATGCCTACTTAAAAAATATATCTTCTAAAGCACTTTTAACGATCTTCTTGCACCCAAAGTCATAAGTTTTAAATACATTTTATTTTTAAAATTATTTTAGCATATACAATTGCATATCCAACAACAACACCACGTTCTATGGAATGTTCAGCTGAACAAAACTTTTTTGTACATCCCAACGATTGCAAGAAATATTATGAATGCAATAACGATAATCTTGTATTAAGAGAGTGCCCAGAGGCTATGGCTTGGGATCGGAAAAAGGAGGTGTGCGATTTTATTGGAGATGTAGATTGTTGTAAGTATTTTTATATTTAATATTTAATAACTTTACTGTAAAAATTTATTCGGTCATTGTTTGGGATAGCGTCAGTGCTAATTAAATATTCATTTACAGAGTGGGGCATAATAAAGAACGATTTTTTTAAAGTGCAAGTATATTGCTGAACTGTCAAGAGGTGGCGGGGATGCTGTCATTCAGGGTAAAATTTTGTGCTTTTGATTATGAGTTGTAAAAATTATGGCAGTACCATAATCGCAGCTAGTAAGCAAAAGCACCTTTTATACATATGTCGCTTAATATTTTATCTACAATCACACTTAATATTAAAGTTGTTCATATTGTTACGCAGATTTTTGGTATCTAAATTTATTTCAATTTAACTTTTACAATAACTGTACAACTGGCGTGTCTCCTATAGTCCGCTCTCTTGTACTCTGTTATTTCTCGCAGTTCCATATTTGGGTGTGTCCTTATTTTCGCAAAGGTCTCAGTGGCCTTCTTGTGTATAAGGTCTAGGACCCTTTCGCATTTGAGGCACATTTCAGGCTGATGTTCTATTGACTTTGAATCCTCTTCCTGTTTGTCTTATAGGTGTATCCATATGCGGTCAAGGCATATAGGAATTATTACTGCCTGAATGAGCCTCATTTTTATCTTCAGTAGGAGTTTGCTTCTACGTCCTATTAAGCAGTTTAGTCTTGCTCTTGCTTGTTTCGCCTTTTTTACTACCATGTCCACGTGCTTGGTGAAGGTGAGTTTTTGGTCCATTATAACTCTGTATTTGGCTGAGTCGGTTTATGTGATGTCCTGTCAATTCACCGCTATTTCTTCTCCTGGTGGGTAATGTATGTTCTTAAACAGCACAGCCTGTGTCTTCTCCGCGTTGACCTTGATCTTCCATCTTATACACAATTCTTCTATGTCTTTCTCTGCGTCTTGTAGATATCTTGATATAAGTCCTGGTTGTGTAAAGAATCCCACTAAGTCCAGTACCCTTTTATAGTTCCACTGCATTTTGCCAAGTAGCTGTGACTTTATTTTTGAGCCATTCTCGAACAACCTCTAAGTCATTGTCTTTCTTCTGTCCCTTTTTCAGGCTTTCAAGGGTGATTTCTTCTTTGTCGCCCTCTGGCTTGATAGCGGTTGCTCAAAGAGTAACTTTATTAACCGGTTCCTCTTTTTCATCGAGTTCTTTACTGTACCGGCATTGTTCTTTTAAACAGGGTCGCCTGGAAATAATGTCTGCGTTGCTATGGATACCTCTTCGATGCTCTCCTTTCTAGTTATTGCTAAAAAGCCGGCTCGGTGTGGGTAATTGACTTATTCGGAACGCATAGTTGCTGTAACTATGTCTTGTTGGACTTCGTGATGGGCTTCTGAAGATTGATCTATATGATTTACCGGTCTCATTCCATGATTCTCGATTTATCAAATAAGCAATGCTTCTACAGGTTCTTTAAAGATGGCTGATTCTTCCGCAATTGAAGCACCTCCTGCTTCCATTTTGGCTGTTTCGTTGCATATTTCGTAGAATATTTAGGATCTGTAAAAGGGTAGGTTGGGGAATAGCACAAGTATTGGCCTCCATACTTTGCTGGGATTTATTTTCCCTACCTTTGGCTCGAAAATATCTGCACATTAGTTTTACCGCTGTATATTTCTGGGCTGCAATCAGTTTCTCCCTCAGCATCTTGTGATCTTGTAGACGAAAGGCTTGCTGCATTTCCACATTTTGTAGTCCCTCAATAAATGCCTGTATACCGATTTGTTCTTGAAAATCTGTGGGCGCCTGTGGATAGGCCAGATGAGTCAATCGTTTTATATAGGTTTAGAAGTTCTGTAGATTTGTAATATGTTTCTGACTGCGAACCTTTAGCTGGCTTTGGAATACCTGTTGCACATGCTGCTGGCTGACGGTTGATGTCTGTCCTCGTAACGACACTATCAATGCAGCCGGCATCTTTTTTTTAGCCCAGCCATTGGCTCTAGCTGCAGCTTCAAATTGGAATGTTTCCTATGTTGTATGACCATCAAACGTGGGTAGTTTTAGGGTATTGCTACTATGGTTTTGTAAGACTGGAGTTTGAATACGGCTTGATTGAAGACAAAATAAAGTTTTCAGCTTGAATGTTGCTTACGAAAGCTAGGCTCCGAATTCTTTTTTTTTAACTTAACTAGTTTAGTTCTAATTTGCCTTTCGAGCTCTACTCTTCTCTAAAGATCTACTCTTATATTAAGCTGACCAACCTATTGCTTAAAAGTTTCCTGGATTTGTAGCAAAGCATTCATAATTTTAAGCGCTTCTTTCTTAAGCCTCTCCTCTTTCTTATCCTCTCCTTCCTACGCCTTCCTTTTTTCTTTACTCGCCTTTTCCTTTTCACTTTCTGCCTTTTCTTTTCCTCTTCTAACCTTTGCCTTTTCTCTTCCATCTTCAAAAACCATGCTGGTGGGTCTGAAGTATCCATATCTGTTTCGTGAACAGTGGATCTAGTATTTACCAATGTTACGTAAGTTTTTGGTATCTAAATGTATTGTAACTCAACTTTAAGAATAACTATACAACTGATAACATTAACATATAACGTCTATCATATAACTGAAAACTGACGTCAGGATCATTAACTTATATAGCTTGCTTGACTCTTCTCGAACCTTCTCGACCAGTCGTCTAGATTTTTCTTGACAAGTAATGACATTTCTAGACATTTCTGGACTATTTTAATTTCTTCTTTCACTCGTTCTTTTGCTTATGACGACGCTGCAAGGTGCTGCGTAACAATATTTTACTTTATAGTATTTTAGTGTAAAATACAATTTTTTGTTACCTTTATTATGATAAATTTATTATCTGGAGACATATGAATAAATTTAAAAATTTGTTTTTGTGTATTTTGGACTTTTTGGAGTATATTCTTTTTTGACAGCACTTCTGAATAGCTTCGCAGCATTTTATTTTAAACTCCATTTAACAAATCTTAATATGTCTTCAAATACATGTTTTTGTATCATTGGGATAATAATGCCTTTTTTGATAAAAGGGTATCAAACTGCTCAAATGTGGTCATTTTGAAAATTTAAGAGGTGATACTCTATTTGTGTGGGATTGATTTTGAGTATCATTTCTTAAATTATTAGAACAATTTTTGTAGCTTTTTTTCAGTTATTTATATGATTTCTTATTAGATTTAAAATCATGGCATTTCCTTGTAAGATATATATGACAATTTTGTACAAAATACAAAGGCCTATCGATCTGTTAAATTAAATGGTACAATATTATTTTTTACAAGTTAATGACAAAAAAATAAAACAAATTATAATATATATTAGTCGATGCCGATGATACCAAATTAACAAAAAAACAATTCTATTTAAAAACCACTTATTGGTGATTTACACACTCTCGTATAAAGTATAAATTCATAAAATATTTGTTAAAAGTGATAGCAGATAATTTTTGTTATTAAAGTTTCATGTATGCAATAATTTTATAAATTAAAACTTTTAAAGTTGTTTTCCATTTAATAAATCTATTAAAATTGTTTTATTTTTGTTTCAGCTGATATATAATTTTGAAAAAAGTAAGTGTTAAACTTTAAATAGGTAATAAGAAAAATTATTTATAACCATATTGAATTGATTCTAAAACATATTTTAAAATAAACATTTTTACTCTTTGGAATTTAATAAAAATTACATCAAATTTGTTCTTGTTTTGATTTTTTTACTAAAATATCCTCACCTATATTTGTTGTACTTTGTGTTTGTGAACATTCTTAATTTGAATGATAAAACCTAGATACAATTCTATTACATCTAGTACTTTATCTCCGGCCGTGCAGTTAATGAAAGCAGTAGGACTTCCATTCCTGTCCATACATAAGATTCGTACCCACATAGATCAAAAATACATTGAATTTAGGATTATGCGCAGTATAGAGTTGCGCAGTCCCAATATATACTACCCAATATTTTACCAAATAATATTAAATAAAATTTTTCATGTTGTCTTCTTTATTTTGTCTATTAGTACTTTGCTTAATTTTTATTTTGTGTAATTATTATATTTGTGATTTTTTACTATTTTTCACATGCACGGTGTAAATAAATAAGAGCTAAGTTCCATGCATAACCTCTTAAAGTGACAGAATTGAAGAGACGGCTCGTACCCCCTAAAGCTTTTTCAAATAAAGAGAAAGTTGCATTCTATCTAAAATTTATAATTAACTTAAAATTTTTTGTACATTTACAATTTCTGTAGCACTTACAGAAAGAAGTCTCTTCTGTTAGGATTTTAGAAAAATAGCCACATTTAAAAACTTGTAACGATGTTCTGGCGAACACCGCTGATAATGCGCCCATGGTTTACACTAGTAAGGTTTTTACAGAGACCTGGTGGATATATAAAACCGATCGAAAAGCCCAAGACGGCAGTCGAGCAAGGTATTGAATCCAGAGGCTTCCTGACCCATCTGCAAGGTACCGATTTGTCGATAGTCTTGTCCCCGTTCGTCAAGGTATATGCCTGCCCTATGCAACCTACCCGGTGACAAAGGTACTGACTTTCCTACCCTCTTGTAACTACCGTCCCTAAGATACTTAGTCCCGCTCAAGGTACTGACTAAACGGTAGAGGTGTGTCGTTCGCGAACGATTCGTTCAAAAAGAACGAATCAGTGTACTGACTCGAATGATTTGATTCCCTGTTTTTAAAAGATTCGAATCTTTTTTGAGTCAATTGCTCGATGGCTCTGCGATCGATCAAACATGCCGAGTTCCGAGTTTGGTTGCTTCGTTCATTAGATTCAAATTCGAAGATTTGGTATTTTACATCGGCATCGGCAAATTGGTCGCTTTTATTCTACGTTCTACGACATAATACGAGAACTCTGACAGGCTGTGGCGGTATGTGTCTTTAATGTTTTTCTCACTTTACAGGAGGTGTGTATTAAGCTTAGGTAAACAATTTATGCATGTTGTCTGATAAATAAATTTAAATAAAAGTAAAATTAAAACAAAAAATGACGAATCGTGAATATATAATTTTGCGTTAATTTTGGCTATATATTTGGCATTTAAAAAAAATTGTGTTATTGTTGTTTATCTTAACGGACAAGGATGTATTTATTATTCAGCTGCCTTTTTTATGAAATATGAAACATTAATTCGCTTTACTTTAAAATAAATCTGGTTATAATTATTTCACTCGACGACCTAGTAGGTAGGTAGATTAGGTAGTACTCAAATTCATAAAGGTTCGGTTCGATTTCCTTCGCCGGATCGGCGGAATAACATCGTTCGTGGTTCGCTAAAGTGAATCACTTGAGAACGAATCTTGAAGAACGAATCTTTTTAGGTGAATGAATCAAATAAATTAATTCAGTTAAAAGATTCGAACTTCCCACCTCTATTAAACAGGCATCCAGAAATCCGACTACCCTGTATACCAGGATAGCTATTTACTAAGTCATGGGAGCGCTCCCATGGGAGTGCTCCCATATATTTTGCTCTCTTACTCTTAGATGGGTATATCGTGCTTACTCACTTTTAGCCCAGGTACATGCGTAGTAAGGTCAGATTTTATATCATGCGAGGGATAATTGCGGGCTTGCCAGATTTAGGTCTGTATTTATCACAAAGGAAATTTGAACTATTTAGGACTGATTCCACCGTTGTGTTAAACGAAGTTTAAAATGACATTTTTACATTAACAATGTCACTTTAATCTCCGTTTAACACAACGGTGGAATCGGCTCTTAAATAGTAGATCAAAGTTATTCTGTCGACTTGGCAACGTTGGCATGGGAGTATGGGAGCATGGGAGTATGGGAGTGCTCCCATGAGTTAGAGAATAGGTATCCTGACCTGACCTTGCCCCATGAACCCGTCGATCGTCTCATCAAAGAACATTGGTTTACGACGAGGCATTCATCCAGTAGACGACCACCGAAACATAGTGAGCTCCGCCCGGATCATTTACGCAAATAATAATACTTTATTAATCCTTTTAGATCATATACATGATATAGGATAAGTCATTTACATGTAAAGATGTACAATAGTATACATTTATAAAACAGATATAAAATTTAACTAACGCATTTAAATATACAATTTAACAATAAATACACAAAATTAAAATTAGGAATAATAACATTGAAAACACCCATATGATATAGTCTGTTCGCTATATTTACGCGGGTTTCGGATTAAAATTTTTATGAGTATTTTCAGGTAAGTACCTGAAAGTTTGACCTTCTTTGGGGAAATATAAACTGGTTAAATGAAATGAAAAATAATGTACAACTTTTTAATTAAATAATAATGGAGAATCTTTTGTATAATTGAGAGCAGAATTAAACTTCTTCATTAATGGAGTCTAATATGGCTATTATAAACCTAATAATAATTTTATATTACACTTCACACAGAAAATATGGTCTATGTATAATAAGAGGGTTATTTAGCTCAAATAAAATATTTTCTAACATAAAAATTTGTTCCATGTAGAGAATTTCAAATAAAAAAAAAAATAAATTCAACTTGCCAACAAAAATTAAAATCAGTCATTATCATTCAAAATATCATAATCGTCATCATCATCACTGTCATCACCATTAATTGTTATTATGATTGGACTTATTTCGTTTATTTTATTTTCACGAGTCCACCAATCTCCTATTAGTTTCTGGCACTTGGATATACAGTTCCGCCACACTTCTGAAGTTGCAATTGTAAGTTCTTTTTGCCAAGTTTCCCAAACTGCGTCGTCACTATAACCAATATGGTTGTCATAATATTTTTTTGCTATTCCCCATATATATTCGATGGGATTAAACTGGCAATGATACGGTGGCAGACGTAAAACTTGATGACCGTAACTTTTAATATTCTGATCCACAACAAAGGTTTTTGGTTTTGCGTGTATATTTGCCAAGCGTAATAATTCTGATTTTAATATATATTGAGGAAATGGTATATGTTCCTTTGTCAACCATTCTTTAATTTTATCAACAGTCCAAGAATTCGTTGGACTTTTGTTTAATACTTCAGAATAGTAAGGTGCATTGTCTAAAATAATTACGCTCGACTCACTTAAACCCGAGAGAAGTTTTTCATGCAACCATTTTACAAACATTTCTGTTTTTATATTATCGTGATAGTCACTTGATTTTGATTTAGATGAAAATATTAAATCAGCACCTTCTATAAAACCCGATTTCCCTCCTGCATTTAAAATTATGTGTCGCTTTCCTTCTCCATCGGTATGTTTATTGGACTTTACGTCATCATCTTGCCATATTCTCTTTGTTGCACCCCTAGAAAATATCCATGTTTCGTCCAAATATATAAAATTCGCCCCTTCTTCTTTAAATTTAGAATATTTTCTTAGAAAGTTAATTCTCTTGTGCACGACAGAACTTCTTTCACAAAGGGCCTTTCTGTTATCCTCCTTTTGAAATTTAAAACCCAAGTTATGTATCACTTGCCATAGACTTGTTCTGCCAATGTCATCAAATTTTCTATCTAATAATTCCGAAAGAATTGTATTTAAGGTCACATGTTCCTTGTTGGCCCTCATTCGATAAATGGTATCACGAATTTCAATTTTTTTTCCATCTAGAATATCTTTCGTTATCGATGATGGGCGAGTTTTGCGGTGATCTTCTTTCGGCAGTTCACTATTGTGATTTTGTAATACTCCTTTTAATTTGGTTTCACTAATTCCCAGAGCATCGCATAAGCGTTGTTGTACAGACATTACCGATTTTAAAGGACCGCCATTTTCTTTTTTTTTTCCATACTATACTTATGTACACTACAAATTAGACTATCTACATCAAACACATGTCTAGGCATTTTTAAAATGTCCACTAAATTCGCAATATACATACAATGTCAACACAAATAATCAATTCAACTGAAATATTTGTAACAAATTTAGTACCTACCCTAATGTTATTTTAATTTAAATCTAACCATTAGGGCAATTTTACCTAACTTCTTGGGAAGAGACTTATTGGAACTGGTTGTCAATGATTAATTTGCATAGTTTTGTTAATCCGAAACATGCGTAAGTATAGCGAACAGACTGTATTGAATCGAGAGGCTTCCTGACCCATTGGCAAGATATTCTACTGACTTGTTAATAAACCTTCTCCCCGTTCAACAGAGTATTAGACTGTCAGATGCAACCTACCCGGTGCGAATGGTACTACCTTTTGTACCCTCTAGTAACTCTTGTCCCTAAGGTAATGACTTAGGGATATTTCGTATCGTTTGTTAAAGATTAAGATTAAGTTGTTTTAATGTATGTTCCTATTGTTTTAATTATGTTTTATGTATCTATTAAAAAAAATAATAATAATAATAATAGACGTTTAACAGACAGATAATCTTTGTGTTTCATTTTCAACTAAAATTACTATTACTATTCAAATAAAGAAATAATAGTTGGTTCTCGAGCCGAAATAGAATACACAATATGATGAAACCAAGGACAGAGCAGAGAAATGATTTAATTTGGAACGAAACTGTCATAAATCCGGTTAAAAACTTGTTACCATATACAGGCAACCCATAATTCGTATATACTTGAAATAAGCACAATTGCTTTTGTCTAAAATTAGCTTAAAATGCAAAATTTGAGATTTTGAGAGTCAATTTAGAACAAAAATACTCTATATTTAATATGTTTTTTTATTATA